CGACCCTTTTTATGGATATCTTTAAGAAATGGCTTTCTTCTTGCCACTCTTCCATAAAGGCCAGATTTGTGCAGTATACGACTGATTGTTGTCCTATGGACAGAGTCTCCCACCTCAGCTGTAGATCTCTGCAGTTCATCCCGAGTGATCATGGGCCTCTTGGCTGCCTCTCTGATCAGTCTTCTCCTTGTATGCGCTGAAAGTTTAGAGGGACGGCCAGGTCTTGGTAGATTTGCAGCGGTCTGATGCTCCTTCCATTTCAATATTATCGCTTGCACAGTGCTCCTTGGGCTGTTTAAAGCTTGGGAAATCTTTTTGTATCCAAATCCGGCTTTAAACTTTTCCACAACAGTATCTCGGACCTGCCTGGTGTGTTCCTTGTTCTTCATGATGCTCTCTGCGCTTTAAACGGACCTGTGAGACTGTCACAGTGCAGGTGCATTTATACGGAGACTTGATTACACACAGGTGGATTCTATTTATCATCATTAGTCATTTAGGTCAACATTGGATCATTCAGAGATCCTCACTGAACTTCTGGAGAGAGTTTGCTGCACTGAAAGTAAAGGGGCTGAATAATTTTGCACGCCCAATTTTTCAGTTTATTTCTTAAAAAAGTTTGAAATATCCAATAAATTTCATTCCACTTCATGATTGTGTCCCACTTGTTGTTGATTCTTCACAAAAAATTACAGTTTTATATCTTTATGTTTGAAACCTGAAATGTGGCAAAAGGTCGCAAAGTTCAAGGGGGCCGAATACTTTCGCAAGGCACTGTAAGTCAGCAGATGGAGGTGCATGTTTATGCACTCACACAGTCTAAACTTACTCGGGCAGAGCTGGAATTGACACAGGTTTCAAATGAGATGTACTTTAAGTGTGCAGGTCTCTGGAAACTGGCTCTATGGAGCCAAGGCCAGAGGAACTACTTGTCTTGGCTGCTACATAATCACCCCCTGAGCTGTAATTTATGGGTACATTGTAAAGCACTTTGCGATGTTTACCAGTGTAACAATGTCACAGTGAAAAGAAATTGCACCTAGTAATATATGGCAGAGATTATGGAACTCCCTTGCCTGTGTAAGACTGGAGTGAGTACATGGTATGTATTTAGTCATAAGCCACAGCTGTAAGAGCTCCATCCCCGAGTGAAGCTTGAACTAAAAATGTGTATTCTGCTCTTAAAATATGTAAACGCAATATACTATTTTGATGGTCCTTTCAACTTTTGTGTGCTGTTATAGGATGTATTGTATAATCACCTGACACATACACAAGCCATGGGTTTAATGTCCTGCATATGCAAAATGGAAAGATGCTCAGTCATACATACACCAATCAGCCATAACATTATGACCACTGACAGGTGAAGTGAATAACATTATCTCATCACCTGTCAGAGTGTGGGGTATACTAGGTAGCAAGTGAACAAATATGATGTGTTAGAAACAGGAAAAAATAGGCACATGTGAGGATCTGAGTGACTTTTACAAGGCCCAAATTGTGATGGTGAGATGACTGGGTCAGAGCAGCTTGCAAACTGCAGGTCTTGTGGTTGTTCCCAGTCTGCAGTGCTTAGTACCTACGTACCAAAAGTGGTCTAAGGCACCCAAGGCTCATTGATGCGCAAGGGGAGTGAAAGCTAGCCCATGTTGTCCTACAGAAGAGCTACTGTAGCACAGTACTGAAAAACTTATTGCTGGTTCTGATAGACAGGTGTCAGAACACAGGGCATCACACCTCTTGCATCTGGGGCTGCATAGCTGCAGACTGGTCACAGTGCTCATATCGACTCCTGTCCACCTCCAATGAGCATGTCAGCATCAGAACTGGACCATGGAGCAATGGAAGAAGACGGCCTGGTCTGATGAATCATGTTTTCTTTTGCATCATGACGGCTGGGTGCGTGTGAATCGCTTGCCTGGTGAAGAGATGACACCAGGATGCACTATGGAAAAAGACAAGCCAGCAGAGGCGGGGTTATGTTCTGGGCAGTGGCCTACTG